AACGAGAATATTCGTTGGTTGCGTTCAGCAGATGTTTACGTCAAAGCAAATAGTTGCATTCAGCAGAAAAAGCAGCTTTGCAACTGTTGTAAAATTCTTGAATATGATTGGTTTATACATTTAGATCCAGTGAGGGACTAAGGGCAAGACCAATCATATTAAAGAATTTTACAACAGTTGCTTTTTCTGCTGATCGCAGTTATTGAGAATCGAACATTCGATTCGCGTTCGACTCGGTTCGACTTATGAAGCGGTACATCAAAGACAATTCGTGCGCGATGTAGACGTGCAAATTACGTGTTCGCTGTTTGACTGTCGCCTGAATCACCATAACCTTTTCTATATTAACATGCTGTAGCGTCCATATAAGTTCGTTCTTCTGGTTTCTATTCTTCATATGGTATATTACTGCATGGTATACTTACTGCACAAGTTTAATCATGTAATTATGTGATTTACAAGTAAAAATATCAGTTGTCTCAAGCAAAGTTACAGCGAACAGTTATCCAAATACTGAATCAAGATCGAATGGGTGTTCGACCCGTATTCGATACAAGAAAAAAGTACGAACGAACATGAACGCGAATATCCGAATGTTCGCGCTCGCTATTCGTTCGCTAGGTATAGGGAAAAGTGAATTGTGCGCATCTAAGGGAAATTTATTGTCTTGGAATGGTTTTCCAAATTTAAAGCGATATAAGTATGGAAATAGATACTATAAACATTCTTCTACCATTACGTATCCTCATATTGAATAGATTTTTATTCAATAAGATTGTTTGGCAAAAAGGAAAAAACGGAAAAGCGAAAAAATTTCTCGCGCGTCGGGTAATTGTGTGCATGGGTTGGGTAATTTTGCGCAAAGCAAAAGTCGCAGGAAATGAATGAATTATGGATGTTGAACAAAGAAATCAGAAATAAAATAAAATAGTAATGTAAAGAAGAAACGAAAAAATTAGTGCTAGTTATATAGTATATGAAAGATGGGTAATTGTGCGCATTTCAAAACGCTTGCGTACAGTTGCCCGCTATGACCTGACTCGATATAAAATACGATTACTTCTTAACCATACTTAATAAATTACAGCTCAAAAGACGCACATAATAATGTACTTTAATAACATATGCAACTTTAAACAAACAAATAAAAAATACGGATCCACCTATCTTATTTTCTGAACGCTAAAATAACAAGAAAAGATATGATTTCACTCTTTTGTATTTCTCTAGTTAGCAACGTATTTATGTCGTATCTTTTGTAATTATATCTTAAGAAAATGACCTGCGTAAAAATTTTTTTTCTCCACGGTGATTCTTCATCTATTGGAAAAGTCAAATCAGGATGCGCACAATTACCCGCTGCGCACAGTTCCCCCACTTTCCCCTATATGTGCCTTTATACACAAAACAAAATGTACACTAATGAAAAAAGGCGTATTTAAGATAACCGATTGATATCCATGTAATAAAATAATATATATATATATTATCTAGCATTTAAATAAAAATTGTTTGTCTTTATTACTTTTGCGTACCACCTGTTGATTTTTATTAATACATTGCATTAGTAATCGCAGTAAGTATTTCATGTGTAAATCTAAATTTGTATTTAATAACATCGATTATACATACAGTATCGTTTATTTATGTATTGTATTTACCTTTTCATATATACAATTAAACCATTGTATAATTGCACAAATTCTTGTTTAAATTATATTACTGCGATGACAATTTATTCGAAAAGGTAAACTGCAAATTTTATGTAAATAAAGCATTTTTCTAATTAAATTTCTAACTTAAAAGAAAAAAACATATCTGTATATTATATATTGAATTGTATAAAAATTGTACTTACCATTTGTTATTTCTCTCTCTCTCTCTCTCTCTCTCTCTCATTTTAAATATTTTTTTTATATAAAACCGATATATAGTTATATCCTCTTTTATTCTATTTTATGCTAAAAACGAGATATTACACTGAAAAGAACGTAAATTATTGTAATTAGGGCACGCAGAGTTTCTTCATCGCCAAAAACTGTTCTACAATAATTATACAATAAGAAAAATATTATCGTAAAAATCAAATTATAAGTAAAGTTAAAATAAAACTATGTATTACGGTTACATTTTTTTTATGATATATTTATATCCACTTTAATTAAAATTTTATTTATCTTTACAAATTGATAAGTATTGTCTTTTTATGTATAATACAACAGTTTATTTTTCTTCAATCCGTATACTTCTCGCTTCTTCACCGTTCTTGATTTCGACAATATTAGCATTATCGGTTCATTGAAAAATAAAAATGGCATCTTTGAACGATAGCTTTTCTCCCAGTCTTCTTCATGGTCGACCGCCGCTACTGCTGGAATAATTGACCTAAATATACCGCAAAAATAGCGGATCATAAATTACATAGGCTCGACGAGAGTGCACTTGACACAACACTGTCGTTACACAACTACTATGCTAGAGAAAAAGATAGAAAGAGCAAAGAGAAAGAAAAACAGTGACAAAGAAAGGTGTAGGGGAGGAAAAAAGAAACAGGGAAAGA